AAATTGATAGGAAGGGGGGGGGGGGGGGGGGGTCCAAAAATCGTTCTCTAGGTATATACCAAATGTTTCATAAAAACTTATTGTCAAGATATTTCAGATGAAAAATATGAATATATTAAAAAATACAAGTTAAATCCTGAACTATGGTGAAAACAACACAACAGGAGAAGGGGGCGGAAGAGAAGGATAAAGAAGTTTCTAAACAAACGGAAAAAGGAAAGAGTAAAGATGACGATGGAGCAACACACGGAAATAGTGAAAAAATCAGAAGTGATAAAATTTCCTCTCAGAATGGAGAAACTAAAGAAAATGGAAAAGAAAAGTTGAGTAAGGAAACTGAAGAAGACGAAGATAGGAAAAAAGATGAGAACAAAGATGAAGAAATGGAAGTAGATGAGAAGGAGGATGAAGAGAAAAAGAGCAAGGACGAAGAGGTAGATGGGAAGGACGGAGAGGAAAATGGGAAGGACGGAGAGGTAGATGAGAAGGACAAAGAAAATGAAGAGATCATGGATGCCGAAACAAAAGAGCTAAAAGATCGTTGCACTGCGGATCCAAATTTTGCAGTGATCTGCTCGTTTTTGGAGAAATTTGGAGGAGCCTGTGGTGTTCCTTGTCCTACTATTGCAGAACTAGAGGTGATAAAGAAAGCTTTTAAAAATAGTTTAAATCTTGTTCACATTAATGATAGGAGGGGGAGGGGAGGAGGGTCCGAAAATTTTATTTTAGGACTGAACTGGATTACCTACGACTGAAGGAAATTTTATTTTGTCTTCCGTAGCAAGTTCAACTACTTCTTGTTATTTATTAATTCCATACCTGATCAGGAGATGCTTGAGAGTGGAGGGGAGGCTGGTGAAGACCTTGTCATGTTCCACGTCAAGCTTCTCAGGAAACTTAAGAAGTCTGTTACTATTGAGAAATGGGAAAAAGGATTAACCAGGTTAGATGCTAATCTTGAAAGGAGGTATATTTGTAGGCGTATTTTTAGTCTCCGATTCACAATTGTACTCTATAAACACCCATTTTTGGAACAATAAGATATCGTCGTTTTCTTTGTAAAAAAGTTTTTGTTTAGGTTTATTACCTTAATTGTTTCTGTAGTAGAGGTCGGCAACTCACTTTTATAGAGAAAAGAGAGAAACCACTATTTGCATTAATCAATATGGATATCTCATTTATCTTTTATCAAAGAATTGTCTAAAGGGAACCGTTGTGAATCAGATATGCCACTTTATGAATGGAGTATCACCGAAAAAATGCGAATTAAACAGCAAATTCATAATTCCATTGAAAGGATCTTGATACTTTAAATTTTCATCAAATGCTCAAATTCAAAGCATTTTTTTTATTATATTATGAAAATAGTTTTTTTTATACCGAGGATATTTTTTGTTTTAACCAATAATTAGAAAACAAGTTTGATTGTATTTTCTAATCCATTTTTTCTATTTACAGATTCTGTTTTTCGTACTCCAACGAAGATGGTTGGGAACTGGATAGGTAAATTGATTATTTGTGTCCATTTATTTAACAGAAACACTGTTAAAATAGTAAAATCAAAATCTATAAAAAAGTGAAGAATGAAGATTTACCAAAACATTTTCAACTCATGATTTGATTTCACCTTTTTATCATCTAACATTTTTGTGTTTTTTTTTGTTGAAATTAATATTCAATATACTGGTGAGTATAATACAATTAGTATGCTTAAGTAGTTACTATGTTTTATTTTCTAACGTAAATTTTGATGTAAGATTAATGTTCTTATTTTAAAAAATCATTCATTATTATTCTAGGTTTGGTTACAAAAGAGCAAAACTGAGTTTAAAGATACGAGCAATTAAAAACCTGTGTGAAGCTCAGTTTGACCAGAACGCTAAATTCAAGGTTTGTGTTTTTTTTTACTTTATTTTATCCAGGGGTCAAAAGAATTTCATCTTTTGCGATCTCAAATAAACGTGGAACAGTAAAATTGTTTTAAGAAAAAATTTAAGTACAATTTAAATTTTAGCTTTTTAAATATTAATATATTGGCTGTTTGTCTAAGGATTGTCACCACAGCTGAACTGAGCAGGACCAAGGTTTTTGTGGTTACTCACAAAGCCCGGTCAAATAAAAATATAGCCTCCAAAAAATATGTTTTAAAACAAGTTTGACATCTACTCATGCAAGCAGAAAAATCCGTTGAATTTTGTCATTGATTTTTAAATTTAATTTATATTTTATATATCTATATTTAAGCTGGAAATGAACAAATTGAGCAGTGATGATCTGAGATTAAGTCCTCTAGGGAAGGATAAACAAGGAAACTGTTATTGGTATCAAGTAGATCAAGGAGCTAATCTTAGGTACATTCATTCATCCTTTCATCCTTCTTTTATTCTTTCATCCTTTATTCATTCTTTTATCCTGCATCCCTCATCCTCATCCCACCCAATTATATAATATTCATCCCTTCCTTTATATAGGCATTCATTCATTCATCCTTTCATTATTGATTTAAGTATCATTTCATCCTTTATTCACTCGTCCTATCATCCTTTCATCCTTCTTGATGTCATTCATTTATTCGAGTTAAAATTGATTTCAAATTACAAAACATTTAAGAAACCTTTAATTTTATTTTATTTTTAATTTTAATATTATTTTCCTGTTTGAATGAATAGATATAAATATAAGATTTTCCACTGAAGATTTCTGTAAGGCATGAAATATTAAATTATTATATAGTACATTTATTTCTATTCTATGTATAATAAATATGTAAAGTTAAATCCAGAAATACATATATATTCATATTTAAAACTATATAGGGTGTATAAAGAGGACCTTGATGAAGAAAGTTGGGAACTGGTGGCCTCCAGTAAAGATGAGCTTGTAAGCCTTCTCACAAAACTCAAGGTCAAGGCCAACTTGTGTTGCAATGGTTTTCGAACAAAAACCTAAAAATGTATCTACCGAACATACTTGTACTAACTGTACTAACTATGGGAGGAAAAAAAGAAATATTAATCTCTTTTGCTTATATAAAATCTGGGTTATATAATTTTCATGGAGATTTTTGATGAGGGGGGGGGATCACAATGAAAGCAGGCATCCATTTTTTGATAAATTTCCCCAAAAAATTCATTTTCCTCCCTAAAATCAGTTTTTTTTCCAATTCCTCAGAATAAAACTTAAAATCATGGCCATAATTTTTTTGTGAAAAAAATTATTTTGGAAGAAAACATACATTGTGCACTATACAGTGTACACTGTACACTGTACACCCCTTAATCAAATAGATACTAATGAATAAACTTTCCATAATCAAAATTTCTTTCCTATCCTATGTTCCCCAAAGCTAAATCAAACCCTCTCTTTTGAAATCTCGGTCTTAGTTCGTAATTAAAAAATAGCTCATCTTTCTTCATTTTTGAGAACAGTCCCTTTATTAAAATAAAAAAAAAACTATATTTTAGGATGGAGTTGCAGTGACCTCAACTGAGGAGGATGAAGAGGATGAGGAGGATATGACAGGGATCGAGGATATTATTAGGTTAGACGCAATTTCAAATGATCCTCCATTTGCTGGTCCGATTTACAACTGTACTCTTTACACCTCTAAATCAGAAACAATGTGGATTTTATGCCGCTCGATTATCCCAAAGAACGTTGGAAGTCGCACAACATATTCTTGCCATAGTAGAGGATATTGGGGAATTAATGAGTTGGTTACGTTGTTGAATTAATAAGTTGATAAAGGGACGTTAAAGGGAGTGATCGTGTAAGGGCAGGCGGGCGAAAAAAGGATTTTAAAGATCCAATTTTTGCTCTTGCTGAACAATCTTACACCGTAAAAACGTCTGATAGGTTTCAAATGAATCCTAAAAAATGTCTCTACAATACTGCACTCTTAGCTTAACTGCCATGTCTACGGGTCACTCCCTTAAAGTAATAAAATTCCGTCTTGGTTTAAAAAATATCTGGGGTCGATAATATTTGTAAAAATGAATATTAATATTTTTGTAAATATCCAGGGACACGGGTCCAGTTCCTGAAAGTGCAGTCAATAGCGGAGATGTGAGCAGGGTCAACTCAGAGGACGAGGATACAAGATCTAGTCTCATAGAGGACAAGAACAGAGCGGAGGACAGGAGAAAAGGAGAGGACAAGTGTATTAAGACGGAGAAGGAGGAAGAAAAACAAGAGATTAAGAAAGAGGAAGTTGGCAAGAATGAAATGAAGAAAAACGGAAATGATGTAAAGAATAACGATCTAGAAATTAAAAAGGAAGATGAAGATAAAGAGAAGATTAAAAAACAGGAGAATGAAGCTAAGAAGAAGAAAGAGGAAGAGATGAGTATGAAGAAAGAATCGGAGGAAGTGACAAAGAAGAAGAAAGAAGGGGAAGAATTGAAATTGAGGAAAGAGGAAGAAATGAAAAATGTAAAGCAAGAAGATGACGAGAAGACGAAGAAAGAGGAGGAAGCTAAGAAGATAGAAGAAGGATCGAAACAGAAAAAAGAAGAAGAAATAATAAGGAAGGATAAGATAGAGTTGAAAAAGAAGAAAGAGATACCAGAATCTAAAAATAAAATTGAAGAAGAAATAGAAAAGAAGAAAGAGGTTGAAGAGTCAAAGAAAAAGAAAGAGGAAGACGATTTAAAGAAAAAGAAAGAGGAAGAAGAAATGAAGAAGAAGAAAGAGGAAGAAGAATTAAAGAAGAAGAAAGAGGAAGAAGAATTAAAGAAGAAGAAAGAGGAAGAAGAATTAAAGAAAAAGAAGCAAGATGAAGAATCAAAGAAGAATATAGAGGAAGATGAGTTGAAGAAGAAGAAAAAGGACGAAGAATTTAAGAAGAAGAAAGGGGAAGAAGAGTCAAAGAAGCAGAAAGAGGAAGAAGAGTTGAAAAAGAAGAAAAAGGAAGAAGAATTTAAGAAGAAGAAAGAGGAAGAAGAGTTGAAAAAGCAGAAAGAGGAAGAAGAGTTACAGAAGAAGAAAGAGGAAGAAGAATTAAAGAAGAAGAAAGAGGAAGAAAAATCGAAGAAAAAGAAGCAGGAAGAAGATTCAAAGACGAAGAAAGAGGAAGAAGAGTTAAAGAAAAATAATGCAGAGGAAGAATCGAAGAAGAAAGAGAAAGTGGATTTAAAGAAACAAGACGACGAGAGAATAAAACAAGAAGAAAAGAAAGATGTAAAGATACCATTTCGTCCTTTTTCAACGGACGAGGAGAAAGAGAAACCGGAAATTAAGGACGACCAAAAGGTAAGGTGTTAAACATCTACAGTTACAAAAGTAAAATCTGAAATTTTTAATATTTTCTTATCTTATTTTTATAGACCGGAGAGAACGGAGAAACTCTAAACGTAATGCGGAGTAAGATATCTCCAGGTTCTCCCAGACAGGATAAGCTGGTTCCCTTAAAGAAGCGAGGTCTAGAATCCCCCGTAGATCTGCCCCTCCCGGAGAGTGATAAGAAGAAACCTAAACTCGACTCAGGAGACGAACCAGCTGAACCTGAACCCGGAGCGGACTCAAGCATGATTGTAGGAGAGGAGATATCTGAAGCTCCAGTTGTAATTCAAGGATCAGGTTCAGGAGCTGAATGCAATGCTGGGAATGCTAAGGTTGGAGCTAGGAATGGTAGATCTAGGTCTGTCCGGAAGGTTGATGATGAAAGCGAGGAGGAAGAGGAGGAAAGTGATGAGGATGAGAAGCCGATAAAGAAAGGAAGAAAACCGAAGGAAAGTGAAGGTTCCGAGGATGAATTCAGTCCTGATGAAACTCCAAGTAAAGGAAGAGGTAGAGGAGGGAACAGAGGTCGAGGTCGATGTACACCCAGGGGTCGAGGTCGCGGTAGAGGTCGGGGAAGAGGGAAGCCAGCCTCCGAGGAGAGCGCGGAGGAGTCGGAGGAAAGTGATAACCAAAAATCGAAGAAAAACAAGAAGGAAGATGAAAGCGAGGAAGAATCTGAAGCAGACGAATCTCAGCAGAAGAATGGGCGTGGGAAGAAGAGTGAAAGTGAAGAAGAAGAGAAAGGTCCCGTTCGAAGTGCCGGCCGAGGAAGAGGGCGAGGAGCTGCTCCTGGAAACGGAGCTGCATTTGGGAAAGCAGCTGCTGCTAAAACAAATGAATCTGTGGGAAGACGAGGTAGCTCTAGAGTACAAATACTTAAACAAAAAGAAGAGGAACGGAAGAAAAAAGAAGAAGAAGAAAGGCTCAAATTATACGCAGAAATGAAAATAAAAAAGGAAGAACGTGAAAAGAGAAAGCTAGAGAAAATGAGAACTCTCGGCGCTGATTACATGATGCACGAACGAAAGAGAAAACTGAAAAAGAAACTAAGAAAGCGGAAAGCGGAGATGACTTTGCAAGCCAGTGATGATGAAAAGGATTTAGATTACGAGGAGCAGAAGAAGAGGAAGAAAGAGAAGAGGAGGGAGAAGAAGCCGAGGAAAGGGGATTCTGTGAACAAAGAGTTTTCTCAGTTTTCGTCCGGAAGTGATGGAACAGGTCTGGAGGATGAATCCGACCTAGAGGAATTATACCAGGAGATTGCGGTAATACAGGGGACATTAGTTCCAAAAATAATACTTGGCCCGTTTCTAACACTCAGTGTTAGAAATGGGCACAAATTAAAAACTGGGGTTTTAAGGATCCCATCAATGTCGAGAGTAAAAGTCGATGGTATAAACTATAACCAACATTTTGTTAAGCATGACGAGGACAATAATACAATAATTCCCAATTTAAAACTATCTTCTGGAATCAAATTTATAAAAGGAGATCCTTTTTATTTTAAAACCCTTGACCGTTTTCAAGACAAGGTCAGGTTTTCCATTTTCGAACAAATCCTGAATTTGAAACATTGTGGCGTTTTCGAGACAAAACCCATTTTCCCAACTTTCAATATAAATCACGAAAATTAAAAATTATCTTTGAAGACTAAATATACTGCTCAAGTAATGGAGTCTTTTTTGGGTGAACTGGGGTGAAGGGGTTGATGAGCCAGAGTAGTGTTGTATGGGATGTAATGTTCAATCGGATCCGTCCGCTATTAGGACTGAGTCCCTAGAATCTATGTACTTTTTAGTCATAGTTTTTTAAAAATTATTTCTAAAATCTTATTTCCCTTTTTTATTTGTAAAATAAGAGAATAAAGTTGAATTAATTTCCCGCATTCTAAATAAACAATTTCATGGATTTCTAGTTCAATCTATAGTGTAAGAACATAATAATATTAAAATTTTGTTTTCTGGATGATAAAATGATTTTTAAATTATAAAAGAACAGTATTTTTTGTTTTCCATTTTGTTTATATTTTACCTTTTCAAATAATCTTGTCTTGTTACTTAAGTGCTTAAAAATTGACAATGATACGAATTCGAGTAAGTGTCTCAAAACCTGGATATGTTCCGAAAACGCGATATGAGCTGAGATGCGGTAATTGTTTCAAATTAGTTTAAAGTTGACATTTCTTGTTTCAATAATTAGTTTTAGCAATTTTTATTAAATGTATGGCGTGGTTTTGTTCAACTTGGCTAGGATTTAAGGATATATACGCCGGAAAAAGATAACTTTGCAGATTTGGCCCATTTCTAAAACTCAGTGTTAGAAATGGGCCAAGTGTTAGTTTTGGAACTAATTTCGCCTGTAATAATAAACTTAACACGTCACGATCAACTTAAAGGGACTGTATACTTGACTCTAGTAAAAATAGGCATATCCCATACACAAGAAAACCCTTATCTGATAAAAATTGTGGAAGATATCGTCATTTTTCCCTTTATTATTTTCCGTGTACAGCACATCCCTTTTCTTCTTTCCGCAAAATTGATTATTTTCAATAGCGGGTTCTTTTTTTTGACTCGCGGATTTTTTGCTACAGAAACAATGACTTGGAAATTTGGCGATTAAAATACTTTCAAGCTAAAAACGACAAATTCTTTTTCAATAATGATGATATGACGGTTATTTATGTTGGATTTAATATTCGAGAACTTTTTTCGAATTGCATAATGTTCCAAATTAGCATAAAGTAATGGACAGGCTAGTTAAACATGTTTGTTGCTCATGGCCGCCTGCCTGCCTCCCCCCCCTTTCTTCTCAGCGGTGGTCTACCTAATTTTAAAAATCATTATTTTTTAATCCGTGATTACTTTTTATTTCAAATTTTTAAAATCAGGACGAGGCCGACGATTTAATGTTTAATTATCAGGATTTATTCACTATACACAAATTAATTCTGGAAAACACTATGAACTCGGTTTCGGTTGCTATAAACTGATTTAGCGGTCTGTTTACATTCTATTTAATTAGGCTTATGTCTAAACAATAATTTACCACGGAATAGGAATAAAGGGAAAGGAAATGGCGCTGATCTGGCATGAGAAAGCCAGTCGCACTGCTTTGCAGACGAGTTCGGTATTCCTTACACACACTCGTTTGGTACAGACCACACAATATGACTAGTCTAGGAAGAACAATGTCGTCAATTATAATTAAACTTGAATAACGATTAGTTTGTAAACTTCAAATAATATTCTTTGCACAAAAATTTGGCTTTATAGTGTTGACTTGAATACGTAAATATATATTACGTGTATAATGTATATTAAACTTATTTTTAAGTAAACAATTAACAATAAACAAATGTACTCTTCTAAACAACACAAATACATATATTCTTATGTACTGTATAAACCTACAGTACACACCTTTGGTTCGGTATTCCATACACACACTCTTTGGTACAGACACACACACATGACGTTTCCGCCACCTGTAATTTACAGTTTCGACATGATTTGTATATTACGGAATTTGATTTATTTTGAGTACAAGATTCTTTTATGATGAGGATGAGACCGACGATTTAAATTTTTATAATCAGGACGAGGCTGACGATTTGTTTGCCACTGATCATGAATTCAGCTGTGAATCAGAAGATGAGGAACAGGTGGGAACAAAATAGAAATAATATTTTATAATTTTAATGGTTGAAAAATTAAATTTGGAAGTCTGATCATTTTTTATTTATCTCTAATTATCTATAATTATCTATTATTACAGATGACTGATGACTGATGACTGATGACTTATGACTGATGACTGATGACTGATGACTGATGACTGA